TTATCAAAAAGACTATATGCACATAACTTTTTAGGAAAATATCACCATATAAATCAAGTCTGCCATAAATTATATAAGCTTAAATAGGAAAAAAAAAAAACACACAGTGGGAACTTCAAGGAGTTTATTACTTACAACAGGAAGAAAGTTTCAGCCAATAATTGGCATTGTCTACCTTGTTACTGGCTCATCTTCAGATCAGGAATCAAGTAGAAGAGAAAACAGAAGGGTGTTTGTGTGACCGTTTGTAGCCATTCTCCTACAAGCTCAGATGAAGGACTGGCCATTTGCTACTAAACCTCAAAGTCTTAACACGGCATCCCTGAACCCAAGGGTCTCCAAAGATGAGAGCAACTTTCGTGCTCACTATATATTCATATAGGTATTCACACTTTATATTCATATCACCTGGGAATAACTAACACTTTTGGCAAGTTTACTATATTCCAGGAATTCTCCCAGGCTTTACTGCTCATCAACGGTCCTATGAGGGAAGTACCACTGTTCTCCCCATCTTGCAGATGGGGGAAAAATGAGGCCTAGAGAATTTGAGAAAATTGCCCATAGTCACTCAGCTGTTCAGAAGCAGAGCTGGGTGTCAGATGCAGACAGCCTGCAAAGACGCTCCAAAGATCGTGTTCTCGTCCTTTCTGTTACGTTGCTGATGAACAGAACATCGATGAGAATCTCTCATTTCCTTGATTCTAATAATATCACTCCTCACACTGAAAAGAGTTTCCCTGCCCATGCATGGTGCAGAAAGAAAAAAATATTCACATCTAGGCTTTGAGAAAGCTCTCTGTGGTTCTCAGGCTTCACCTCAGAGCAGGCTCACAAAGCCTACCACACCTACAGAGTGGGTAATGGAAGGAACACTTTGAGTACGTGGTACATGAGAGGGCCACCCTCAGACCTAAAAGAATCTTTGTTACATCAACCACACCGCTGGGGTTAAAAAGGAGCCCACACCGTTACACCTGTTTCCAGCTAGGACCTAGAAGGTATGAAAGAAATGTGGAGTTTAAAATTTTTTGAAGTTTCCAAAAAAAGGCCTTCACTGTCTAATGAAAAGACAAATGCCCGAGGCAGCCCTCAGTTAAAAGTTTGCAATCCTACCCTAGTTTTGCCCCCATTCTTCCCACCCCCCTGAGGAACCCTCCTGCAGCCCTGACTGTAACGCTCTCCACCACTGCTCCTTGCTAAGGTTTACCACCTCCAAAGCTACCCAGGGCCCTCTCTCCTAATTTAAACTCCATTCTCCCACCAGCTTGGAATTAGAAAAGTAAGCTGTCCCATGAAGTAACACTTCCCTTTCACTAAATAGTAAGGAGACCCGAGAAAAGCAAACTGTCCCGAGAGGAAGACTGGATGTCTTCTAGGTCCCTTCCAATGAAAAGTTTATTATTAAACAGACCTATACTAAACAGTGAATGACAAAGACCTTACTCTTGGAAATCTGCACACCACTGTAGGGGTGTTTGCTTGCTACATCCCTGGTGGGATTTAAGATAGTGCTGGGAAGTTTATATCCCACTACACAGCCTCCTATTCCTTGGCATATAGCTGGTCTGGGGAAGGGAAAAATCAAGAAGGCTTTGTGGAAACCTAGTCACCTACATGTGGGTGAGGAAATAAAAAGAGAGGGAAAATGGAATGAATAGGAAGTCTCTCCCAGACTACTCAAAAAAATCCTACATGTATCACTGGAGGGGGCCTGGAGTGTAGATGCCATCTGTGGTCACAAACCTCCTTCCCTGCAGGTGGACACAGTCAAAAGAGGCCAACATTCCATTCATCTTTCCCCCATCAGCTTCCTCGCTGGAATTGAAGATTTAGGTTGCCCAGCTCCAAAATATAATAACAACAACAATAATAACAGCTCTCTCCTTAGGCCATGATCTCCATCCTTTCTAAATCTGACCTTATTTATCTCAAAAGAAAAAAAAATCTCTAGGCCTCACTTGGGTCAACAGTGGAGACTCTTCAACACTGAAAAACATAACATAAATGTTAATAGTATGCTTGCATGAAGAAAAGCCACACCATGAAGTAAAGTGGAACAAAAAAATCTTTGCTATCACCTCTAACCTCCAACCTGCCCACAAGAAATGCCAGTCTTCACAAACGTCTCTATTTCCTCACCTACAGTAGCTTTTATTCAAGCACCTGAGTAAAAGGTAAGTGAACCACATCTTAGTGGATTTCATTGTTTTCCATTTAATTAATCAAAAAAGTATATACAATAGTTTTCCTTTTATTCTTTTCCTTGCAAGTACAAGCTAATTTAAAAGGGTTTTGTGAGCTGACCTGGCAGCTGAACACTTACAGCACTATCCCGTCACCAAAGGTGCTGAAACAACTGACCGACTTTAACAATCAACCCGTTTGTATTTGGAATACGACCTCTGCCTGTATTTTAGGAAGGAAGCTTTGCACCAGGAATATCAAATGAGCACAAGCTAGGGGCCAGGGGATGCAGAGCTTAGAGTGCAGGAATG